TAGGTTCATTCTATTTTCTCATATATATAAATCAACTTGTCAATTTCATTTAAAAAAAAAGACCTGCTGGGATTTGATTGGGATTATATTGAATTTCTGTGTAATTTGATAGAATTAATACCTTAACAATATTGAGTCTTCTAATCTATGAACGTGGTATGCCTCGTCTCTTATTTACTGTTCTTTCATTTCTCTAAGCACTTTTTTTGTGGTTTTCAATATAGAAGTTTTGCACGTTTTGTTAATAATATGGTTTTTTTTAAAAAAATATATTTTTTAAAAAATTCTTTTTAAAAAAAGAATTTTCTGCTAATTCTTTAATCTCAGTCATTTCAATATCTTGGAGTATTGAGTGATTTTTCTTCTGGTTAAGATTCACATTTACCTACTTGTCAATGTGTTTAATAATTTTTGACTAGACATAGATACTGGACATTATGCACTTGGTGTTAATTAGTAGTAAGTTTGTTTTTATTTCTTTAAAGAGCCTTGTTAGTGTGAGTCTAGAATAGATATTTACTCTGTGAAGTCAACAGAAACATTCCACTCTGGCTAGTTTGAGCTCCAATGTCTGCTAGGTCTATACAGGTTGTTCTGGGAATTGTTTAGATTACAATCTTCTAGTTGTTCACTGCCCAGTCTTGTGGATTTCTACTCCAAATATAGTTGACTTATTGCTTAGTCACTGATTCAGAGGATCCTTATACAGATTTTCCCTCTGCAGTAGTCTACCTTGAATATTCAAGCTGATTCAGACTTCTTTAACTCTGGTTTTCATCTCTTAACGTATTAACATCGTCATTTTCTGTTTCAAAATCCCCTTTCCTGAATTATGGTCCAGAGAATGCTTCTAGGTAGAAAGCTGGGATAAGCATAATATTCAAACACCTTATTTGTCTCCTTTATTTTGGGGATCATAGTTCTGTGCTATTTTCCAGTGTCCAAACCAACTGTTTCATATGGTTTGTTGATTTTTTTTTTTTACAGCAAGTTGGTTTCAGTTACTCCAACATGGCCAAAAGTAGAAGTCTGTTAATGAATTTTTGTTCCTTTTCCTAGTTTTTGATCACATGTTTACTTGCTTGATGGATGGAGAGTCTGTGATATAGTTCATTTAGTTATAAGTACATGAACACTGTTTCTTGGTTAAATTTTCCATCTGTCTTCCTTTCTCCTCTTTCTCTACTCCCAAGAAAGACACTAGCAATAAAACTTTTAAAACAGGAGTCCAGAAAGCCTCAGATAAGAAATACAGCCACAGATTATCTTTCTCCATCTACTTTTCAGTTTATGTGGAACAGGGGGACCAAGTATAAAAATCATTAAACTGTTAATATTTCCATTGATCAGTTTGAATTTATAAGAATAAATAGCTTTATTTTTCAGTTATAAATTAAAAATTACTCTACCATGGTGTACTGCGGTAAACTTTTCTATCTTGTTAGAAAAAATTCTCAGAGTTTAGATGGAATTTACAAAAGAAAATTACCCATCAATATTAAAGCACTGTTTTTTATTGACTACAGTCATATATATAAATACCATTCATTTACATGCATGTATGGATAGACATTTACACATTGACAAGATATGCATAAATGTAACTGTTTTTATTTCTATAACATTCCCAATTATTTCTAACTAATCCCTGGTCCCAGTAAGAGCAGAAATACTTGCTACTTCAAGGTTACCTGTTTCTGGTTTAAAGCTTATTCATTTTGAAAAAAGTATTCAGGATAAATATTCACTTCTTCTCTCTGCTCTTTTCTCTAGAGGATGATCTAGAAGTGTATAGGTTAGCGATGACAAGTAGGATGTTTACTAGTATAAAGTTATTACAGAACAGGGGCCTAAACAAAGTCAGTAGGAGTGAAAAGGAGATGATAAATATGAGACAAAGATGCCATCTCAGAAACGTTGGTGACCACATCCCCAGATCACCCAGCCACAATCATTCTGTCTCCAACATAGGAGCCACTGGGCTTGCCCTTTCTACGTATCTGTTCTAAAAACTGACCAATGGGATTACACCTCTTCTGTCATTTCATGTTGGGCAAACTCAATAATAGGCAATTTAATAAATTATTATAGCAGCAAGGCTTTTAAAGATTTCATCAGTGTATAATGATCACACTATTCACTCTTACCGGCAAGGCTCCAGAACATTCAGAGGCTTTAGGCCACCTGAATACTCTAGTGCCACCTTGTGGTGTTTTAGATGATTACAGACTGATGACTTTCCCCTGGCATTTCTCTGGTTATAAAATTGATTTTCTCTTTTTCAAATTAGGCATTTTATCTTTTTGCAAAGTAAATTTTATTTTTAATATTTGACTTAAAATTATCAATAGATACAGCTTTTAGTGCATCTAAAAGGACACTGTATGCAAATATAACTTCTTTCAAGTCAAGTTTTTGCCTTATGCTAATTCTTCCTTGTATCTCTATACAAGTTGTCACAATATGTTTAATTTTAAAATGCTATGGATTTTTTAGGTCATAAAAATATGTTTAATGCTAGATATGTTTAATGTAATGTGATGCTGATTACTCTTACTTTATGGTGCTTAACTTCAAGGTCTTTGTATAAAATAATGCATTTAAAACTCAGCAAAGATATATTGATTTTAATTAAAGGAAACTAGAACTGAAAAATATAAAGATCTGCAGATATTACCTATTTTTCTCGTCTCACTTATATGGAGGAAATAATTCAATGTTGACATTAAGTATTTACCTTTATAACTCCAAAAAATTAATAAAGAACTTTTAATTTACTTAAAAAGATGATATTCAATGTGCCTGAGTGGGTTATGTATGTCAGAGAGGGAGAGAGAGCAATGACATAAATAAATGATAAACTTGTGAAGATTGGCCAGGCGCGGTAGCTCACGCCTGTTATCCCAGCACTTTGGGAGGCTGAGGCGGGCAAATCTGAAGGTAAAGAGATCGAGACCATCCTGGCTAACATGGTGAAACCCTGTCTCTACTAAAAAAACCAAAGGAAAAAAAAAAAGCTGGGCATGATGGCACACACCTGTAGTTCCAGCTGCTCAGGAGTCTGAGGCAGGAAAATAGCTTGAAACCGGGAGGCAGAGGTTGCAGTTAGTCAAGATTGTGCCACTGCACTCCAGCCTGGTGACAGAGCGAGACTCCGTCTCAAAAAAAAATTGTGAAGACTAAATATAAGAATGTATATTTCTCAGCTGAGATTATTTGGTAATTACTAGAAATTACTGGAACATCTTGGGATGTTATGGGTGCCAAATACTCCCCAGTCGCCACGATAATTTCCTGCAAGGTCCATGGATTAACGCAAAATTTTGTGATATACCAACATTTACACTTTTCCCTTTGTCAGTAATCAATAATATAAAACTTACATTTAATGAAAGGCAACACCTGAAAAGTAATTTTTCAAGCAGGTCATGTCACTGTTGTGATTTTTTTTTCCTTTCTTGGATATTTAGCATGTGTTTTTTGGAGTGGCAAGTGAAGGCAGAGTGTATTGTATACACAGTATTTTTCTTCTCAGTACATTTTTAAAATTTCAACTTTTAGGGATGCACGTTCAGATTTGTGACATGGGTACATCATGTGAAACTGAGGTTTGGGGTATACCCAGGTAGTGAGCCTAGCACCCAATAGGTGGCTTTTCAGTTCTTGTTTCCCCAGTTCCCTCTCTCTCTAGTAGTCCCCCGTGTCTGTTTTTCTATCTTTATGTCTGTGTGTACTCAATGATTAGATCCCACTTATACATGAGAACGCATGGTTTTTGGTTTTCTGATCCTATGTAATTAACTTAGGATAATGGCCTCCAGATGCATCCATGCTGCTGAAAAGGACATGGTTTCACTCTTTTTTGTAGCTATACAATATTTCAATACATGGTGTATGTGTACCACATTTTCTTTATCCAGTCCACCTTTGATGAGCACATTGGTTGATTCCATGTTTTTGCTATTGTGAATAGTGCTATGATGAACATACGAATGCGTGTGGTCTTTTTGGTGGAACGATTTATTTTCCTTTTGTATATAACTAGTAATAGGATTGCTGGGTTGAATGGTAGTTCTGTTCTAAGTTCTTTGAGAAATCTACAAACTGCTTCCACAGTTGGCTGAACTAATTTACATCGCCACCAACATGCATTGCCTTTTCTCTGCAACCTTGGCAATATCTTTTTTTTTTTTTTTTTTTTTTTTTAACATTTTAATAATAGCACTTCTGACTGGTGGGATGGTATCTCACTCTGGTTTTATTTGGAATTTTCTGATGATTATTAGTGATGTGGAGCATTTTTTCATGTTTTTTTGGCCTTATGTATACCTTTAGGGAAATGAGTAATATTTTTAAAACATTGATCAAATCACATTTTTTTTGTATTTATCTTCTCACTTAGCTAAGCCAAAACAGAGCAGCCAGCAGGGATCAGGCTTTTCTAGTGGAAGGATTTGAACTTTCCATCTCTCACAGTATCTTTTAGGCACCTGCAGTTTTCTTGATGACAGCATTAGCATTGTACTCTTCAGAAATGAATGATTACCAGTTAATTTGTTAACTAGAACTAAAACAAGTTAGTGTAGAATTGTGAGATTCTGTGAAAAATTTCTGAGACAAAATTATTTATTTAAAATTTGACCAGGCATGGTGGCTCAGGCCTCTAATCCCAGTACTCTCGGTGGTGGAGGTGGGAGGGTTGCTTGAGCCCAGGAGCTCCAGAACAACCTTTGCAACATAGTGAGAAGCCGTCTCTATTAAAAAAGTAATTAAAAAAAATTAATGCCCATCTGCTACTAAAAAAGTAAATATTCTTTGAAAAGATTTTATTTGGTACATTTCTTCTAGTAATTGCTGATGAGTTCATTAACGTTTTGCATTAGGTCAGCTATGTGTGTGAAAATGACTAAGTGTGAGATCTGTTTTAGGATGTTGAAAAAGTAAAGGAAACGCGTAGTGCATTTGTTCTGAATACGACTAACGATGCCTTTTAAATTCAGGACCTGGCCTTTCATTATCAAAAGCCCCAAGCAGTATAAAAACCTTTCTTTCATGGATGCAATGAATAAGTTTAAATGGACTAAAAAGGAAGGCCTCTCCTTCAACAAGCTGGTCCTGGGCCTCCCAGTGAACGTGAGATGTTCCAAGACAGATAATGCAGAGTGGTCGGTAAGCTCTTTTTAAGCTCTGACAACACAGATGGCACATTTTATCTTAATCTATTACAGGAAAACCTAAGGAGAAGACAAGTATCCATAAATCCAAGGGTCCAGTTGCATTTTAATGTCTGATAATTTATTTGTCCAATGATTACTTGGGTTATTTTTTCAATCATTTGTTCAATGATTACTTGACTGAAAACTCCTCATTCCACCCTCTTTCAAGAGATAAACTAGTTCTAAAACTAACATTGGGATACAGCAGGAATAGGCTGGAATGAGTGCTGCAAAAAGCAATAGAACCTGCTTTGTGTTCTTTTCCAAAGGAGTGCCTGGTCTTCTTTGCTGTTTCCTTCTAAACCCTAGGTTTCTGACTCCCCCAGTGTGTGACTCCTTTGGTAACCACTCCTGCCCCCTACAGAAGTGTGGGCAGCTGAGCATGCTTGGTCACTGCCCTGCTGTAAATCAGATGCTCATTTGCATTGTTTGTGCTTCCGTTTTCAGATTCAAGGAATGACAGCATTACCTCCAGATATAGAAAGACCCTATAAAGCAGAACCTTTGGTGTGTGGCACGTCTTCTTCCTCTTCCCTGCACAGAGATTTCTCCATCAAGTTGCTTGTGTGTCTTCTGCTAGTCAGCTGCACGCTGTGCACCAAGCGCTTGTGATCAAAATCCTGTTGGACTTGACAATGTTTTCTATGATCTGAACCTGTCATTTGAAGTACAGGTTAAAGACTGTGTCCACTTTGGGTATGAAGTGTGTGGAGACTTTTCTTCCCTATTTTCCCTCCCTCCTTTTTTCTTTCCATGTTACATGAGAGATGTCAATCAGGTTCTCTTCTCTTCCTTAGAAATATCTGATGTTACATACAGACGATCAATAAAATAAAACTGGCCTGACTTAAGAGAACCATTTTTTAAAAATCGGACTATCACGTGGGAATAAAATAATTCTTTATTTCCTACTACATTCTGTTTTATTTAAATACTCATTGTTGCTTTTCACTTTTTGACTTGACCTTTGTATTTCTTTTAAAAATGCCTTTCTTTTATAAACGGGACTACTCTTCATTCCCGTTTTCTTTTCCTTTCTTGTTCTTCTAGTGTGACTTTCCAGGTGTAACAACAATTCTTCCTGTCTTTAACATTGTCCAGTTCTGGTTTTTTCTGTGAATTACCATTGGGCCCCTTACCTCAATGCTTTATGTTGATGCCCACTCTGGTTCCCTTGTTTAGCTGAGCCTGTTGGTACCCCAAATGACCCCACACCATCTTACTCTTTTTCACCTTCCCTTTTTAGTGCTGACCAGTTGAGGTTTTCTTGAGCTCTGTCACTATCTGAAAAGAAAGAGGCTATGGGAAACATAGAAATGGCGTGTATCAATAACTGATCATAGGCTGAGGAGAAAAATGTAGCTGGCTGCAAACCCTGTGCTGTGAGGGGACTTGTATGAGATTCCAGGTCAAAGACCGACCATGCGCGCCAGTGCAGGAGGGTGTAAGGTCTGAATAGTTCCTTGCCGACTGTTGGGTGACACATGTACCACATACTGGCTCAATTTAAGTCATGGTTCTATTGTAGATTTATTTTTATATTCATTGATAAACTACTTAAAATTGTCACCAATTGAAACTCTTGCCACTCGTTTGGTTTTCTTTGTGTAGCTCCGCCAAATCTTGTTTTATGTCCTGTCTTCATCTCTTAAGCTAAATCTGTTTGGATCGTATTAATAAACTAAATGAAATTACACTTTTGTGTGGTATTTTATGTGCCTCTTAAGAAAAGTAAGGGATTCAGTACTAGTATTCTCAGTAAAAGTCAATTAAGAATGTTGCATTTTTTTAATTCCATTTTGAAGTTCTTTTGGCTCTACAATGTCTTCAGCACACACCACACTGCTTTTTAAACAAATATGCTTTGGAGTATTTTCTTCTTGATTCTTTAGAACTTGTACATTTGATGAAATGCTTTTAATATTTATGAGGCATATTTTAAGAGTTTTCTTTTTATTTTATAAGTGCTATTTCACATTCCATGAGTTTCCATTCAAATATTTATATGAGAAATATAATTCCAAACACTCCCTATTTGAAATTTTATGTTTATTTTTACTTCAGAATTTCTGAATTTGAAGTATCAAAGTCAAAAGATTTCCTCTTGAGATTCTGTAATATTATATTTGTTCTTACCGAGAACAAATGTTCAGTAATATTATATTTGCTCTTGGTAAGGAAGGTGAACACACCAGCTAGAAGAGGGTAAACTGCTTTGGAAGCTAACATTTATGGAGCCAGATCAGGAATCTGTATTTCCATTGATGTTACTAAGAAGAAAGTTGACCTTTTATTCCCTAGAAATTCTCATGAATATATGTGATTTCAAGGAATTGACTCTATTTCAAATTAGGATAGGTTATCTCTTGTAAGTTCTATGGAATTCTGATTATATTTTAAGTCATTTGATCTTACGTTGAGCACACCTTAACAGCCGGGCTTTTTATTACTTTTTCAGGGAGGCTTTTAATTGCCTCCCTGGATTAAATAGCATCACCTGACACCTGGGCTATCAGGCACAAGTGCCCGAGACTTCGGGAAGAATGAGGTCCCCAGGTACGATGGTCCCGGGTTGGACTGTTAGGTTCAGAGGGTGTGGGGAAGACATAACTGATGAAACCAATATTCATCAGTGCCGTGTGAAATTAAGGGTATCCGAGGTGATCATTTTTTTTCTGAAGGGGGCTCAGGCAGAACCAAAGGAGTCCTGGCAGTCATAGAGTGATGTAGGCAATACAGGTAGGCATATTAAGAGTTTTGAACTTTGTTCCAATGGCTCCAGAGGCCAATGATGGGTAGCAAACAAAAGGACATTTGGAAGCAGTATGTAATGGCCCTGCATAATTTGTTCAGCCAAACTCATTATTGGGTATAAAAGCCATTCCCATTTTTAATATAGTATTGCTGATTTAACAGCTTTGAAATTAAAATATTTTTATATCTCAGCATTTTCTTACATTTAGGTTATAATAAATGGAATTACAGAAATAATCATTGCATATTTTCAAGAATTTTGATGAAATATTGCCAGATATCTTTAACTTATTTTCAAATGGTTTGGAAAAATATCTATCTATTATCTATCTAGCTACCTATTTGTCTGTCTGTCTGTCTGTCTGTCTGTCTATCATCTATCTGGCAACTGTCTATGTATCTACAGAGGATGACATGTGAAATGTAATAATGGGTGAGTCTGATTGGAGAACATAAGATTTCTTTGTACTATTGTCACAATTTTTTAAGTTGGAAATTATTTCAGAATAAAAAGCTAGAAATGCAAAGCACATCATGAGAAATCCAGCTACAGCACAGTGATCCAGGTAGGTTTTCTTCCCTATGCAGTACTTCTACATTTTCAGGTGGCAAAGAGAGAAACTGGGTGGTGCTTACTCTCCAGATGCCCCTGGGTGAGGGGAGAAATGACTGAAAGATTGTCAGTTCTGACTAAAGATAGGATTTGCTTCCAGCTTGAAAAAAAAAAAAAAAAAAAACGGAGGGCTTGAGGGACTGAGGGAATGAGGAAAGATTCCAAAAACTAAAAAAAAAAAAAAAGGAAGAGGTCTTGCAGGCTGGGAGTCATTTAAAAATACATAATATTTATTTTGCCCTCCCCCGATTATAAACCTAATGTGTAATAATGTCCATTTGCTAAAGAAAATTTAGAAAATTATGATAATTTTAAAAAACAATAAAATCTGTTAATCCCATTGCCCAGATAATAAATACAACCTGTTAATAAATAAAAATAAATAAAATCTGTTAATCCTATTGCCGACTTTTAACTTTTACATCATATGCTTCTAGTACATGCTTGTGAAGGTATGTATATTTGCGTGTATTCATTTATAGGTAGAGAGATAGCAGGTAACAGTAGCTTCTGAAACAAATTCCAAAATAACAATGCTTTAACACAAGTTTATTTTGTATTCAAGTAAGTGCTCAATGTTCCTTGTTGTGGTGATTCTGGGACCCAGGATCCTGTGGCCTTACCATCCCTAGGGTCTTGGGATCATCTGCATTCAGCCTGCTAATGGGGAAGGACCTGATCTAGAAGGGACAGAAATCACTTCCACTTTCACCAGGTTGGTTAAAGTAAGTCATATGGCCTCACTGAAATGCAAGTGGGGCTAGGAATGTCATCCCTCTCTGGGTACCTGGAGAATGCCAACACTACAGAAAGGAAGCCATCTACGCTGAAATCCAGACTTTTAGTAAAATTGACTTTCATCTACTCATGACTCCAAGATTTTTGAGTTTTAAAAACAATGACCAAACCAACATAGTGTTGCCAACTATATGTTTGGCAAAATAGGATACTAAACAGAACAGTTACTATTTATTTAATAAAGTAACAGATTGTATTGAGACCATGTTGAGCCATACTCCATACTACAGTGTTGGGCTTACAATTGTAATGAGGCTCATAGCCGAAGACACTAAACTCCTATCACCAACATTTCATTTTACAAAATGGAAGGATTCAAAATAAATGTCAGCTCTTCAAATTGAATAAATTTAGCTTTACGGAAAGCTTACGTCATCATCATCATCATGGACCATCCTTTCTCCATAGATTATTTGAACGATGGACTTAGTTTATATCTTTTTGATCATCTTAGCCTTACAAATCTTGGACAGTTGTATCTAAATCCAACATACTCAAACTGGTACTTCATGAATAGAAAATGGTCAATTGAACAGACTCATGAAAGCATCCATTACTCCCCAGGTTAGAGCTGTGATCCATGGAAAATAGAGAGTCAAGAAATATTGTTACATACTTAAACAGGCCTCCTGCGTAACATCTCTGTCTTAAATATAATACTGTACGTTTGAAAGTCCAAGAAGAGTTACGTAGTATGGAACATTTCTCAAACTCATTTCACCAAATCCCTGTTGTTGTGGAGCAACGTTCCCCAAGGAACAAACTCTGGGGCACACAACTTGAGCAGAGCATGTCCAGGTTTCTTTAACAAGTTTGCAGAAACTTCCAAACGGTTCACGGGTAACTATAAAACGTAGCCCAACAGACATACGCCTTTCACTTGGGTTCACTGGTCTGTTTCTTATTTGCTGTCCTATTTTGCCAGTAAACAAACACACTGTCTACTTTTTTTTGAGGCATTTCTCAAGCAATCCTCCCATATCAGTCGCCTGAGTAGCTGCAACCACAGGTGTGCACCACCATGCCCAGCTATTATTTTTCTTTTTCTTTCTTTTATTGTAAAGACGGGGTCTCATCATGTTGCCCAGGCTCTGCTCAAACTCCTGAGCTCAAACAATCCATCTGCCTCGGCCTCCCAAAGTGCTGGGATTATAGGCTTGAGCCATTGTTCCTAGCCCTCAGTTTTTTATTAATCTTCAATGGTACAACTTACAAAAAAAGAAAAAACAGTTTACCATTTTCTAAAAGAATATGCTAAACTGAATTAGTTGACATCAATAAGTTATTTAAGAAATGTTGACAAGGCTGCATATCTTTGGAACATTTCACCTATAGATACAGATTACCTTTATTCCATAAGTAATTTTAATCCTTAAGAGAAAGCTAAATTTCAAAATCATGCCTTGTTTCCCAACAATGGAAACAGAAAACATTAGAAACAAAATTTATTAGATGAGTTACAAGTGACTCTTTTTAGCCAGTCACAGCTTTTTTTCCCTCCCTCCTTCCCTCCCTGCTTCTCTTCCTTCCTTTCTTGCTTTCCTTCTTTCTTTTCTTCCTTTCTTTTTTTTTTTTTGAGACAGTGTTTTGCTCTTGTTACCCAGACTGGAGTGCAATGGCGCGATCTCCGCTCACCGCAACCTCTGCCTTCTGGGTTCAAGTGATTCTCCCACCTCGGCCTCTGTAGCAGCTGGGACTACAGGCGCGTGCCACCACGCCCAGCTAACTTTTTGTATTTTCAGTAGAGATGAGGTTTCACTGTGTTGACATGGCTGGTCTCAAACTCTTGACCTCAAGTGATCCACCCACCTCGGCCTGGCAAAATGCTGGGATTACAGGCATGAGCCATCGTGCCTGGCCAGCTTTCTTGCTTTCTAAGCATCTTCCATCACAAAGAACAAAATATTTGCAGTGACTTGTTTGCTCATCATGATATTGCTAAATTGCTTAACCGTAACGAAGACCTTATGTTAAAAAGGCAACTTTTAATGAAAGTTATTTTGTAGGGTTCCCTTCATTGTCCTTTGATTAACAATGGCATGAGAACTCTGTGGCCTCAATCTAAGGTTTATTTAATAAAGATGTTTCTTTTCCAATTTCTTTAATATTTGTTGTGGAATTGATATATCAGGAAAAAAAAGAATTTGGAGGGAATAATATACAAATGTAGAATGAAAGTCTGAATTACACAAGTTTCCCTCTTATTTTTTAATAATCCATTAAATATTGCCAATCAAAATAATGCCATACATTTTTATAATGCTTTGGAATTTGCAAAGTGTTTTCACAGTATTCTCATTAATTAAAGAGAATCTCATGAAAACTTCTTTTACAAATGAATAGTTATGTTCAGAGAAGTTACGTAGACAGCATGTTGTACTGTGGTAATTATGGGAGACCTAATTTCCATTTGC